TACTGTGCTGCTCCCTATTTAGCAGCACAGTACAATGCTGCTCATCACCTGCTCAGACTGAGGGAGGAAGAGTAAGCAGCACAATGAAGGAAGAGCTGAAATCATAACACTGTAGCAGAGTTTGCAGATGCAAAGTAGGATAAACCAATTAGTTTATCTGTAAACTGTTTTCCTGGAACTGTAAGTTGTTTCTCCGCCATTAGCATATTGAGCAGCGGTTGATTGACAGTTCTAAGACCCTCCTCCTGGCTCTGATGTAGTTTTTGACTGGGAGCGGTGCATTTCTTCTGATGGAAGTATACTTTTGGAAGAGGTGGGGGAGAGATCTTTTCCCAGATTGTCTGTATCATTTTATACTGTCTGGACATAGACAGTTTTAACAAATATGTAAAAAAAAACATTTTTTAATAAAGTTACATATCCCAAATTTAACCAACATAACATCACAGTAATTTCTACATCATTTCTCTTGAAGGAGAAAGGAGGAGGAATTTGCTTATCATGTTAAGTTTCCCATAAGATTAATTGCACAAATCCAGCGACATGCTCACGCTTGTGTGAGGTGGAGGTGGAGGTGGAGGTGGAGTACAGCAACATCTGGAAGTTTCTTCAGTAACATAAAGTTACTTTGTACAAGAATATTTACATTTAATCGGGACAAACCAAATGTATTCCACAGTTTGAGGAAGAAACACACAGGTGCACAGAGGCTAAGATATAAAATCACTGCATCAAACACTTGGTGCTCTCTGAATGAGAAGAAAAACAAGTGGTTTTTCTTCCATTTTATACTACATTTCATTTTGCTTGGCCAAAGTTTAAATACCAATCCACACAGTGTTGATATTTTGATACGTTTGCTATTTCTTGACATTTGTTTATGTTGTTTTTTATATTTGTTGCTTGAATTTGGTAGTGGTCAATAGCTGCATTATGTTAGCTCCTAAAAATCTTCAAATTTAAATTAGTCAACCATTTTTGTTGGGCACATGAATTCATGTGACAAGTAAATCATCTCTACAGTCTTTACCAGCTTGTAAAATTGGTTATTATAATCTCAATAGCACTAAAAACATGACCCATAGAATTCAACATGCCATTTTTGCATAAAAAAAAAGTAAAACAAAACTTAAGTGTATAAGTATACAATTACTACTAATTAACACTTTGCTTTTACCTTAAGCAAATTGTTTTTTACTGAGGTTGCAATGGATCAAAGACGACCTTGGAATTGGTGTGTGCAGTTATTGGTAACAATTAATGTTGCTTGTGCTGCTGGCAGTACTCGTTTTTAAAATGTCTATTTTTTCAATGACCACCCTGTTTTAACCTTTTGCTTTCTTGTAATAAACATCACAGAAAAGCTTTCCTAGAATATTATGGACATAACTTCAGGCCATATCTCCCACTCCTAAAATTTCATTTTTAACAGTTAAAAATGAAAACTTACCTGAACCCTGGCTGTGGTAGCCAAGTCTTTAACCTGATGGGTTTTCATCCTTTTGTTCTCGTCAGAATATTTGCCATTCAGTATCTCCAGGTATGATATTTCGTTATTAATGGTATGAGATGTGGTGCTTTTTTCTTCCAGCCAAGAACTAATTAACTCAGAGTTGGTCTCCACACCTGTCTCCTTCTGCGCGATGACAAACACCTCGTCTGGGATGAGGTAGAGCCTGTCCTCAGTCGTTTGACACTCAAAGTAGCTGAGATTCATCACTCGGCCCATATCCATGTTTCGGAGATTATCCCAGCCTCCTCCAGGGAGGACTTCCAGTGCTGTGATGGAAAGATTGGTGGAGACCTGACATCGTCTGAGCCAGTTTGTCGGACGGGGCAAAGGATTTGAAGAACAGATTTTCAGACAAAAAAGGACAAACCCAAAGGCAGTGACTGTCTTCATGATGCTTCTGCCACGTATAGGAATTGAGGCAACTTTATATTCAAGTCAGTACCCGCCTCCTGAATTGTAAGGTATCATATTACCGTACCATAAGGAACAAAAGAGTTGGCTTGC